AGGGGAAGAATATATCATTATCCTGTCTCAAATGTGTCGGTACTTTTTACTAATATTAGAAGCATTATTAAAAAACGAGACGAGTTGTGTTTAGTTATTGACTCGACAGACGCGGATATTATTGTCATAACTGAAATTTAGCTATCTGGGAAAGTGCGTGACTGTGAACTTGTCGATCGGTCTAAGAAATATAATATTTACAGAAATGACAGGCAAGATAGCTGCGGTGGGGGTGTTTTAATTGCAGTGGGTACTCATATTGAATCTTCTTGCATTAAAGGGATACTACAACGAAATTTTGGCGCTCATTTTTTGGTCTATATGTGTTCAGAAAAGCACCATCAAATCGAACATACCATTATCTCGTTAAAAAAGTCACGAAAAGGTATTTTAAAACTAATTAAACGATTAGCAAAGAGCACCTGGTGGATGTCGCTAACGCCTCGCTTGTAATGCCCGTCTAGCAACCTTGGCAGCTAGTGACGGAGGTTGTCTCGCCTCCGGCCACGACGAGAGAAGAGGGGCAGGAGGAACTCCCCCCTTCCCGAGAATGCCTTTTGTGTTTCACAGAAGTCGCTATTGTCCCCCTACAAGATTATAGAAGATTAACCCGTCACTCAAAATTTGTACAAAAGCAGCCGCTTCGGTGGCTGGAACGACTAGGCCATCCTCTCGACGTCAGCCTCGCCGTAGCTTTGCTCGTCTTGAGACGACCTACGTCACGATTGCGTTGGATGTCACGTGGTCTCCGCTGGGGCTTCTCCAAGCGCTTGCCAGAGTGTGCCGCTTATAACGAAAAATACAGCCACCAGGCTCAAAATACAAACGTGCGATTGTCATTTACGGATATTGTGGATCATATTCAACCTAGTTTTGAACACGACGGGAATATTTCAAATTTCGTTGAAGTATCCCTTTAACGCGACAAGTTGTTCAGAAATACTTTGGGTCTGTATAAGTTCTCACCCCAACAAGTGGATTATGGGAGTATGCTATAGGCCACTGTCATGCTCATCTCTCTTTGTTAAAGATTTGCATGACTCTCTAAACAACTTAGTTATGTGTTTTCCCAGTTCACCGATCTTTCTGTCGGGCGACTTCAATTTCCCTTCTATCGTGAGGACAGAGTGTAATCTATCCACAACTGCATCATCATCGGAGTGCAATGACTTTGTGAACCTTTGTTTAGATTTTAATCTCACTCAGTTGGTTAGTCAACCAACCAGAGGAAACCCCCGTTATCCTCAAACATATTTGATCTCGTCCTGTCGAATCACCCTGACCTAGTTTCCTCCATATCCTATCTTCCAGGGCTTAGTGATCATTGTATATTACATTTTTACGTTAAAGCTGCAGTGCCCAAATCATCAAGTCACGTAAAACAAATTCGAGATTATGCAAAAGCTGACTTCGTCAAAATTGACAATGATCTAGCAACTTTTATTGATACATTTCTAGAAGGATTCTCCGACCGTTCAGTGGAAGCGAATGGGCAAATGTTTAAGAATAAAGTAGAATCCCTTACTAACCTGCATATTCCCCTCAGGACTGTACTCGAAGATTCCCGTCTCTCAAAAAAAAGAAGCGTTTATTTCGAGCAGCCAAATTTACCACATGTGAACGGCGGTGGTCCAAATACCGCACTGCTGCTGAGACATATAAAGAGGAAGTTAATAAGGCCAAGTTGGAGTTTTTTACGCGCACCTTACCCGATATGTTAATAAAAAAAGAAAAAAAACTAAAAAGTTCTGGAACATCATGAATAAAAAAACTGATTTTTCTGTTAGTCTAAAAAACAAAAGTGGGAATGTGCAAATGTATTACACCGATTTTTTTTTTTTTTTTTTTAGTAAGAGCAGCACGGAATGTCTTTTTTCAGACTTTTCAGACTACTTGCCGATGGGCCCCATCTTGCTTGATTGTGCTGGTGTCGATGATGTCATTGAAACATTAAGATTGTCGTCTTCAGCGGGAGTGGACGGTGTTAATTCAAAGTTTTTGAAAAACACTAAGCATTACTCCTATTATTTTAACTAAACTTTTTGATCAGTCCATTAGAGATCATGTTCTCCCTTTAGATTGGAAGGTGGCTCCCATTTACAAGACTGGTGACAAACATTCCCTTCTAAATTATCGGGCAATCTCTATAACCAGTGTTCCTTGCAAACTCCTTGAGCATATAACATTTTCCAACCTCGTCAATTTCTTAGAATTTAACAGCTTCTTCTGTCCACCCCAACATGGATTTCGAAAACAATTTCATGCGAGACACAGCTTGTATCATTTACACATGACCTTCATTGCATCCTGGACCGAGGATCCCAGGCCAGACTGCATTTTTCTAATTTCTTCAAAGCGTTCGATAAAGTATCTCATAAACTACTTCTTCTGAAATTGTTCAAACTTAACATAGATGCTAACGTTCTTGCATGGATTCAACCTTTTTTATCATCGCGGTCACAATTTGTTACAGTAAATAATAGTAATTCTTTTCGTCCGTGGCCTCTGGGGTTCCCTAAGGATCTGTTTTAGGACCTTTACTTTCTTATATATTAACGACCTCCCTCTTAATGTTTCCTTGTCTATTTGTTTATTTGCTGACGACTGTGAATTACCGTGAGATACTTAATGATCACGATAACATCATGCTCCAGTCTGACATTAACACTATCTACCAGTGGTGTGACGTATGGTCTATGACGCTTAATACTAACAAATGTAAGTCCATGCGTGTATCTCGCCAGTCACATGAAACTCGGAACTACTTTCTTAATCAGGCTGAGCTTGACACGACATCTTCTTACAAATATTTAGGTGTGCATATAACTTCCAATCTCTCATGGAAAACACATGTACAGTATATCACATCTAATGTCAACCGTATGTTAGGCTACTTCAGGCGTAACTTTCCATTAGCAGCTGTTTCCCTCCAAGCTAATTCTTTATAAAACTGTAGTTCGACCGAAGTTGGAAAATGCAGCCTCTGTCTGGGATCACGGACAAGCTACTCATAACCGCGTTGGAAGGCATTCAAAATAAATCCGCTCGTTTTATTCTTTCTAATTATTATATATCTAGCATAACTTCTATGAAATCTACTTTGTCACTTCCGCCCCTCTTCCTGCGACGTAAGCTTTCACACCTATCTTTATTTCACAAACTTTTTTTATAACAACTCTGTGCTTCGCGACAAATTAATCACTCGTCCCTTTAATATTTCTGCTCGTCATGATCATCAGCATAAAGTTGAGGTATTTGTCGCTATCACATCTACATTCCAATTTTGTTTCCTTCCTCGCACATCCCTCGACTGGAACCACCTTCCCGGACCAATTGCATCCATAACTGACACTACTCATTAGGTCTGCTCTTACCAATCTTTTTTTTTTCTTCTTGGGGGGGGGGGGGGGGGTGAATAACCATACATTACAGTGTTTTGATCCCAACTTTGCTCTCCCCCTCTGTAATGCCCACGGGCCCTGAGCGTAAAGCAAATAAATAAATAAAAGGCATAAGATGAAAATCTGTGAATGGTTCTTTCAAGTATGAAATCAAACCAAAAAGTGTTTCACTGGAAGTATGCCCAAATCGAATCAATATATCAGATTGCAATAAAACTGCTATTCTTACTTCAGATAAGGAGCCCAATCTTTTGTCAAAATTGAAGAAAGAATAAACATATAAGTCGAAGACAACTTAACCAGATCTTTCAACAAGCAACGGACATATAGGAATTTCAAAAGCGAACAACCGATTAAAGCCGATTCACACGACGAACCAAATCGCTATTTTTGTCCGCGGACCGTGCATTATGTGACTGTCACATCACCGATTCCTACGATTCGCGCCTCGTCCGCGGACCCGCGAACTGATAAAGTCGAGCGCCACACGTAATCAACGTCATTAATTAATAATCTCACTGCACAAGTATCCCTCCTTAAATCTCTAATTTAAGAACAAATTATGACAAATGATATACAGAATTTGTCAGAATATCGCAATCTATCATATCGAGTACCAGCGTGCGTCTTTTGCTAATTTTTCTGCAAGATCAGCTTATCATCAAACACTCACTAAATTTGTGTTCTTGTTTTTTATATATACTCGTCACATGCGCGTGCACCATTCAGCTCTGGACGAGTGCTTTTCCCCATAGCACGTGGCTGCACTGCGGCGATGCGAGATATGTAGAATCACGGTGTAGGCTCTGCAAGTGTTGCTTTTCCACACTGCACCAGTGCGCGATAACAAGCGCACTCAACAGAGCTAGCTAACCCGCCCAAACCGACAACAGGGTGCAACCACGTCGAGGACTGTCTGTTATCACTCCATTAAAAGATTCAATCAATATTGAATCAAACAGTATTTGAAAGGTTTGAAAACTCGCACACGCCTACCGTAACGATTCGTCAGTGTAGCAACGCTTGAGCTAGTTTAATTAGTGATCAAGCAAAATTATTTTTTGGTGCAGTACTGGGACATCATCACATTTTTGTGAAATGCAGCAAAATGTAGCAGGGTAAGTGCTTTAGCGCAAAGTGAGCAGCAATCACATCACTACGCTATGTCCATTCGGGTGAGTGCATTTAGATGCGCACCCCATCTCAAAACACACACACTGCCCTACACCAAGGCTGCACTCTCTGTACAAGGTATTGCCAATCGCAATCCCTTGCACTGTAGACCAGTGCAAGGAAACCCAATGTAAGTAGATTGAGCGAGTAGGACAGCATCATGACCTCACTCGGAGAGAAGCCTGAAGCCCCCAAGCGTCCTACCTCCAACACGAGCACCCCGACTTTTGTGATGCAACAGCGCGAGCGCGCTCAAGGCTCGGTCGACGAGGAGCAGTGAAGACCACACAACAGGCCTACTGTTTGAGTTTTGGCATCCTTTTGACTATGACTGGACCACATAATGTTTTTTTTTTTTTTTTTTTTTTTTTTTTTTTTTTTTTTTATGACTGGACCATACCAAGTGACGTCCAGCTGAGCAGAAAACACTATCTACAACCCTTTATTTGTCCTAAAACTAACCTTGAAAAGTTACGTGCTCGCAGTTCGAAGCCTAGAAAACACGTGCGTCTTGTCTGTCGTGAGCGGCCTCTGTCGGACGTCGGGAGTCTCGGCGCAGGACCACGTTCGTTCGTCGCCGCCGACTTGCAGCTTGTCCAGGATCCTTGTCGAAAGCACCGGAATCACGGGCTGCAGAACGATGGCGGACACCCTGAGCACTTCGAGGGCCATGTGCAACACAGCATCCAAACGATGTCCAGCATCCGGAGACTTGGCCAGCTCCCAGGGTTTGGCATCTTGAACGACGGCGTTCGTCCGCCGCAGAACGTGCATCACCTCGTCGAGGCCTTGGTAGATGTTGCCTTCAAGGTACCTTGCCTTCACTTTGTCTGCACAGAGATCGTTATGTTAAGAACAATGGATCTTTGCACATAAAGGTGACACCAAGCGGCAGAGGCTCGAAGTGCGATTGGCGCCTGGAAGGCGAGTTCCGCTACCTCTCCTGCTTTCTCTGCGACTCCCTTCCATGAACCAACTGTAGTTTGAGCTTTCACCGCTGCATGAAAAGGGCCTCAGTATTGAAGCAATAAAGCAGTACAGAAGCCTACAAACCTTGTAAACAATAATGCACACAGTAGGAAGTGTTTGGCTCATTATTATGCATCAAAGGGTAAAATACCGGGGGAGCGCCCACTTCACTTTCACTGAAAACTGGATCGATCTAGACATGGGCGCTTGTCTGGTCGAATCGGGCGCTTAATGTGTAATTTGCAGAACTCCCAAGTTTGGAACATATTAATAGTGGGCGCTTGAAGGACGTGGGTGCTTCCGTGGTATCTTACGGGAGGTCTGCTAGAATAGAGCTCAAACTAGGAATACTTCAGTTTCTGAAAAGGACTGTTGAGGAAATTTGGGGGCTGGGGGACCCATGGGATTACTTTTGGGAACCCCTAGGTTCCTACGAAGCCAGTTTGAAAACCCATACTTAACAAGCTGCAGAAACATCCACCATGCAGTGTAGCGTAATTAAGCTTGTGGGCATCATGGCTACATGTGATCGATTTTATCAACTATTGCCATGTTATAATGTATGCTCTCGTACCTCAAACTAGTTGTTAAGACAATCTTCTGCAAGATATTCACAAAATGAAACCTTCTCATTTTGTGAAAAGGACAAGACTGTTTTTCCGGATCTTTTTGGAGGAACACGAGATTTTAACAAAATGCGAGTATGTATAAGATTCAGCACTGTGGTGCAGACGACACAAAAAAGCCGCAAATCACGAGATAAGATGTACTACAGACTGCTGACCAGGAAGACCTTGCAGTTCCACGAGGACTTTCTGACCGTCTGGCAACTCTTCAAAGCTCTTGCTGTTGTAGGCAGGGAATATCTGCTGCTTGTTCACCAGGGGGGCCGTGCATCTGCTTAGCAGATTTCCAAGGGTGTCAGCCAGTTCAGCATTCAGCAGTCGCTGAACCTTGACACTGTTGAAATCTAGAAACAATTTCAGTTGGACACTGTGACTGTGTTCCATTAGCAAAATGTGTAAAATCGCAAAACCAAAATAGCTTTGGCATAAAAGACATATGGAAAACTAACAATACTTTAGTGTAGATTATGATTAACCTCCAGCACCTATGGTGTGGCCACACAAGTGATCATGGTAAAGTACAAGTGCGACATGAGCTGATACAAATCTGAAAATGATGTGCACTAAAGTGTCCTATTATTTGTAGCAGGGATGGGCAGTATTTCACATACAAGTATTTGAAGTACATATTTCAAATACTTTGTGTATTTTAAATTTGTATTTAATTATAAATTGGGTAATGTATTTGACATGTGTATTTAAATACTAAAACGTGGGTATTTCAAATACAATTGTAAGTGAATACAACTTTGTGGGCTAAAATACATCCCTCAAATTTATTGTCACGACTCATTTTGCTCATCCTAAGATGTGTCCAGAGCAGGAAAAAAACTATGTTCTGCACCGAATGCAGTCTCTCAATCAAGCACAAGCGTTTAGTGACTTTGTGATTACGGTGCTAGTCCAGGGCAAGAATAATGACGAAATCGACGTTCACAGGCAGACAGGCTAAATAAGTTCCCGTAACCACTTCTGATTCTTTCCAGCCTGATTTCCATCCATATTTTTGCCTGGAAGATTCTAAATGCGTGGGTCGTCCAGATTCTCGTAACTGGTGCCAGTTGCAACAATAAAAAATTCTCTGGCTAGTGCTGCGCATTTTGGTCATCTCAGTTCTTTGTTGGTCTATACCAAAATGTAATCGACAAAAAAAGCTGCTTGAAGCTCTGTACTTTTTTCACCTATTACGTCCAAGCTGATTACATTTTTTTTAATTATATTTCTATTACTTTACTAGAGCCTCGCACACTAACTCCCGAGTGTGCCATGCAAAATTAAAATGAGATACCCAGAAACCCGTTGCAGGTGCCCTGAAGTCGCTGAAACAAATTTTGAAGAATGTAATTGGAAGAGTATTTGGAGGAGACCAAATACATTTGGTTGTATTTGTATGTTGTACTTAAATGCTTCTTTTTAAATGTAATTAGATTTGTAATTAAATACATTTTTGATGAAGTATGTTGTATTTGTATTTCGATACATATTTGCATGTATTTTGCCCATCCCTGATCTGTAGTATATTGTGCATTTATCAAAATAAAATGTATCAGATTATTAGCACTTACACACTTCTTAGCTTTCCAAGGCTAAGAAGGGAATAAAATATACTGCAGTTTGCCCACTTTTAAAAAAGCAACTGCACTCAACATGTAAAACAAAAATTCCCAAGCACAAAGGTGTACTTACTGCCATCCGAATGTGGAACACCTTCTCTGAGTAGAAAGTACCGGATGCCGTCAGCAGTGTACTTGTCCACTTTCTTCACAGGACACAAGACATTGCCCTTGCTTTTCGACATCTGAATAATCAAGCAAGAAGTCTCTACTTCAGAAAAATATTATCTAGGCACTCTTTGTACAAAGAAAACTTTGTTGTAATCCCCCTTCCCCTGCCACCACAACCCCTCCCCCCCCCCCCCGTCCCCCTCAATGCATGAAATAAAAGCAACCACCTTTTCGTTGTTAACTGTCCAATGTGAGTGACAGAGGATACTCCGTGGTGGCTCCAGCCCAGCTGCTATTAAGAAAGCCGGCCAGTAGATGCCATGAAATCTGAAATACAGAAAGCAGTCAGGCAATATGTGATACGAGTTACAGAAAAGCCTCACTCATCACTGAAATTCAAATACTGGAAAAGCCATCCCCTGATCCAACAGGGCCTACACACTTTAAGATGTCCTTTCCGATAACATGGCAGTCCGGAGGCCAACTGTGGTTTGGGCCTGGGTAACCACTGACAGTGAGGTAGTTGACTAGAGCGTCGAGCCATACATATATCTGCAAGATATGTAAATAAATGATGCAGTGCCCGTGTCAAAGCACTCAATACTCAAACATATCATGTTTTCATTAACACTTACAGTCTGTGTCTCATCCCCTGGAACCATGATGCCCCACTTGACACGTGAGCTCTGTCTGGATACAGACAGGTCTTGGAGTCCTGCCCTAATCCAGTGTACCAGGAGGTCTTGGAACTTGGCTGGCTTGACAACACCTGAGTCAAGTATTTAATCCAACCAAGCTGCTGCCTTACCTGAGCCATCTCACAGCGCACTGTGTTTAGGCACATAAGGAAGTCAGTTACCTGGGGATTTCAGCCAATGAATTAAGTCATCTTGAAACCGGGAAAGGCGGAAGACATAGTTCTTCTCTTCCATCCATTCTACAGGGTGGCCAGACTCTATGCTTATCTGGAGATAAAAACGGGCGACCTCACTTCCTCAGAAGGCTACAGTGACGTAATGCTTTGCTGCATAGACTATGCTTGAATTTCAGCACTAGATACATGCATGGGCTACAAACCGGGGGGGCAAAGGGGCACTTGCCTGCCTCCCCCCCCCCTTCCCCTTCCCCCCCCCCCCCCCCCCAGTTCTCAGAGTGAGGGGCAAGGCATGTGTTTTGCTCCCCGCCCCCCTGAAACAGCTGCCACTGGGTAGGGGAAACGCTGGCCGGCAGCACCCAAGGGGTACCAAGTTGTTATGCCCCTATTCGGAGTGGTAGATTTATTTCGCCATTTTACTTGAATAACCATCCTCCTGCCTCGCCCATGTCTAGAGTTCAGCATCTCTATAACGAAATGTCTGACACCGATATGGACATATATGCTTATAATTTCTTGGAAAATCGAAAATATATATTGCATGTCATGCTCTTTGTGTTGCTTGATTTCGTGTTTTATCTTTTTAAGAGTATACTTTCAGTAGTAGCACTTTGATGGAGTGTACTGTGTTGTCTTGTTTTTATAATAATGCCCATACTGCGCGAGGGCCAAACTTCTAAATTAGGTCAATGTTTTGCTTTATCTTTTTAGAGTTTTGGCTTATCTCTTCTTCCCTTTCCTCCTTCTCGCCAGTACAAAGTAGCCAACCAGAACCTACGCTCAGGTTAACCTCTCTGTCCTTCCTTAATAAACCCTCCCCCCTCTCTCTCGGTCTCTCTCTCGCTCTCTTTCCAATAAGTAGTCTTATGTGACTGTTTTTGGACACTACCAGAAAAACATATGATCATCATTATTATTATTATTATTAGTAGTAGTAGTAGTAGTATTCTTAATAATAATATTAGTAGCAGTAGTAGTAGTAGTAGTTAATATTGTGTCACAATATGGGTTTGTCAGTGGGCGTGTGGGACGCAGCCACTTCTGGAAGATTTTGCGGACGAATGGCATCTGGCCTTCGAGAGACATCAGGTTGCTTTTGTGCGTTTTTTATCGATGTTGCAGAGGAATCGATACAGTGAGTCACAAAAGCAGGGGTGGAACTCATGAAATGTACTTGGGAGCAGCCACAGGAGCAGCTGAAACAGCTGTTTTGGAGCAGGTTGGGAGCAGCTAAAACGATGTTCTGGAGCAGGCTAGGAGCAGCTCAGATCAGTTTTGATTGCACTTCAGCTTGTGTTTTAGACAAGCACGGGAGCAATTTCAGTTGTGCTTAGCAGCACAAAAGAACAACACAGATGGTGGTTAGGGACCTATGTAGGTGGGATAACAGTGTAACAGGTGTGAAAACTTGAAACTTTGTGAGCCTTAATGAGAACCAAAAAGCAAGTACCATATGTTTCTGCAGATAGTGTCCTTGATATTTTCTGAGTGGCTTTCAGCTGCTCAAAATGCAAACCAGCACTGCTTATGGCACAACTCACACCTGTTCGAGATGGTAATTATATGTGCGAACCACGTGACGTGCGTGAGAAACGGACGTGCAGTTGCGCGGAGGAACAGGGCAACAAATTCCGAGTTTATACTATTGTATAACTCAATATTGAAGCAGCAGACTACGATTAACGGAGTTATCGTGTTCTTAGCGATAAGCAGGAGCAAGGCTTGTCAAGCAAGATCTATCGCTCGCGTGAGAGCTGCTGGCCAGCAAGGTTTCGGATCGGACTGCGTTTCAGTTCTATCAAATCACGATTTATCTTGCAGGAATGCGGTTCCAACTTCTAAAGAAGAAGTACTAAAAGGAATTGTTTGCTAATGTGTTTTCAACTGGCTGACGTCCGGAACCCGGGCCGCAGAGCCTCAGGTAATCTGACGCTTAACGGCTCTACCTCTTCTCGGCCGACTTGCTTAGCCGCTTATGGTTGAAGAACAACAATCCAGTCGCAGGTGGTGTAGCACTTGGAATTGGAACCCCGAGTTTTTTCGCGCGCTTCCGACTCGGGAATTGGGATACAAAGGAAGAATAAACAGAACAAAGGATTGCAAGGCCGACCAAGCTAAACGCGCTCATTGTTGCCAATCGAGTCGATAAAAACCAAAACCAAGACAAAATGAAAAAAAAAAAAAAATTGGGCGCACGTTCAGCGATTTGGAGCACAATGGCGCGATGTATTGGCTGTAGCGCAGTTTCCGCGAAATGGCGCAGGATGGCGCAGATAAATGCGCCTGGCGCAAAATGGCGCAAATGGCGCAGCCGTTCCACCCCTGCAAAAGTTTACTAAATAAATTGCAAAACATTGGATTCAAGGGCAATGCCCCCCGGCCCTGGGGGGGAGAGGGTCTGGTTCACCCCCCCCCCACTCAAAAACAAGTTGGAACACCACTGGATACATGGTACTCGAGGTCTATACACATCTGGTAGCAGAATCAATGTGCATAAGAAACTAGAACTATGAGGAAACAAAACAGGTGCCAAATAAAATCTACCCAGAATTGTTACACACTGAGCACAACTATTTGGAAAGCACATTGATATACTCCATTCCACCCTATGATGGACCACAGGAAATGCTGCAAGCCATCCCAGCCAATCCAATCCTATGAACATATCATGTGACTACGCATCCCGCACGCTACTGCCCCCTCCCAAAGGCCACGTGACACTCGGAAAACATTGGATTGGCTTAGATAGCTTGTAGTGGCCTACGCCATCATCATAAAGTGAAATGGAAGATAGATATCTCATTACTAATGACACACATCTGCAAGAGAGTCTTGCTACTCCTCTCCTTTTAGAATGCAGACATACTTTTTGTGGAGTTCCATCTTCTTTTGGAACCTCTTTGATCTCAGAATCAGAGAGAAATAGCTCTTCTTGGGTTGAATACCATCCCTTGTATGTACCAGTGTATATGTGCTCTTTCTTCTGCAGCACTTCCTATGAGAACAAAATCGCTTAATTAAAACAAATGAAAAGAAAACACAAATAGTAGTTAATGTCTTTATAATTTACCTTTTCTAGCAAAAGGCACCAAAAATTAACCTTAGACATGTTTTTCAGATAAGTGGTAACAAAACTCAAGTCATTGTGGAACATATAAGTCATTTTAATAAACACCAGACTGTCATATAGGTATTTTCATCTCAATTCAGGCATGGTTTTGGGTTTGAATTTTTAATTTTGACCAAAAAAGTGCAAGTCTTGGGAGCACCCTTGAAATGAAAGAACGCAAACGGGAAGTTTGGTGGATTTTTGTTTTAAAGTTACAGACCATTGAAGTGACGGAGGCGAAAACTGATGCTCCCCTCACCCATTGAGGATTGCATGCTTGACCACTTGCTATTTTCCAATTTCTCAAAATTAAGTACTAGGTCTCTTTTGTGACACTCTACAAATTTAAAACCGTGCCTGAATTGAGATGAAAACTTCCATAGATAGAAACACTTTATGCTCCAGTCTTGCTTTTTATTTGCCTCGTATATGTGGAAGAGAGAGTTTGTTCATTCAGTGCTTGATGAGACGACACCCTCTGCAATTGACACACTCAATATGCAGTTCCATAAACAATGTCACATCCTCAGAGAATTGGAAATAAGTACACTACTCTTCATAATGAAAAGCAAACATATGAACAGCTCATTCTATGTTTTTGTTTGTGAGACTTTGAATGCTAATCTTCTCTAAGCAAGAACACTGAGAAAGCTAAGTGCCTGAGGTAAAAGCAGGACTATACTGAAATGCACAAACAGCCAAAGCGCATGCCCAGCCATAAAACAAAAAAGTATATGAATGGCAATGTTACTGAAATAAATACAAATCGAGGTGTATTGGAATGAGAAAACAAACCATTTCACTCATACCTTGAACACTCATGGCTTATGGACCAAGCATATAAGATAAACAGTAAAAAAATGCCAGTTTTTTCGCACTTACCCAAAAATGTCTGACACATGCTTTATGCCTTTCTTCTGTTGTTCGAACATAGTCGGTGTATGTGATGCCAGTGCTGTCAAAGAGGTCCTATGAGAAATAATTTCTGTCAGCAGTTAGCTTAGACAATGAGACTAGATATGTAGGAAGCTACCTACCTTGAACTGTTTTGATATTCTGTTGCAGAAAGACAGTTCATCTTGCTTGGCTTTAGAAGCAGCTTGCTGTATCTGTATATTGAAATAAATGGCCAGTCTTCTCAGGAAAACTCTTTTCCATAGAGCTGTGTCCTCTTTATATACGCCCTCTCATGGCATGACTCAGGAAAGGATTGGGCATTAATTTAGACCATATGCAATCATTTGACATGAAACCAAAAGCTTCGCTATGCGGCACTTTCCCTGCAATAACCCTCTATCAATTTGCAGGCACCTCAGCTGGGATTGGAACTAGCCAGCTCAGGATCCATAGGCATGGAAGCATGGCATGGAATTTGCATGGAAGCAACCAAGAGAGCCTGAAACGATTATCCTCAAAGGCAATGACAACGCATGGTGAGAAGTCTAAATACGGACAGTGTCATGCTTTAATGAGTAGCTTTCTACATTTATCAACATCAGCTTCTTATGTCGTATGGGTTTAAATTATGAAATGATGTGCTGCATATTATCAAATGATAGGAGAAGAGGATAAAACGTATAGGGTGTCCCCAAAAAAAACTTGCATGCTAAAATGGCTTGCAAAGATCAGAAACTTGATGGATCACGTTTCAACTTCTCTCAAAAATGTCTTTAACTGGTCACATTGCCGTGCTAAAATTTCAAGATGGACCTCACAGAAAAAGGGAAATAAAAAAAGAAAAACTGATCTCTTCAACGGCGGAGTGGTAGCTGTCGAGGATATGCCGAACGATGGGTTTCTTTGCCTTATCCAGAGATGGCACTATCGATTCACTGGACGCGCTGGGAGAAAAACCACGCTGTTATCCAAGTTTCTGGTTTGGTCGGATATTTGCCAAAATGAAGTTGTTTGGGTTTTCAGTTAAGTTTCGCAATGCAAAAAGTGTCTCGCCATTAATATTGCTAAATGAAACTGCCAAAAGCTGCTTCACAAATAATGTTCCTCGGTCTGTGACGGTTCTTGTTTCGTGCATCATCTGATTTCACAGTTTGACGTTTGAATGCCAAGACGCAAGAAGCAATCAGGAGTGCGCCCCAAAAAACAGCGATTTGGTGGCTCTGAAAAGAGCCACCGAAATCTGAACTATGGTCCTCGTGGTTGCGGTCAAATTTCTAGTTTACACAGACGCACATACACTCGCAAGAAGGAAAGCAAATGGTTAGTCGCCCAGCTCAACGTGCCCATTCCAAACTTCTATGTATCTGTTCAGCCTCCTCTCATAGCCCTCGCCTCCCGCATTTCATCGCTGATGGTTGGACACATTGATGATACAAGACAAGAAAATCGCAAGGGGTAAGGTCAGAAGATCAAGGAGGCCAAGGCATGTTCAGAGAACCGCGGCCCATCCATCTCCCGAGAAACTTGCGGTCAAGCCAGGCTCTCATATGGGTTCCATAGTGGGGAGGAGCTCCAGCCTATTAAAATAAGCAAACCACATGTTGCATATGCGCAGATTCCAGCTCTGGTAGTATCTCGACATAAAAGTCACTTGTCACCGTCGAGTCGAAAAAGAATGGCCCAACGACAAACTCTCGCCATATGCCACAAAACGCAACGACTCTCGGCGACTGCACAGCATGTTCAGTTGACCAGTGCGGGCTCGTTTTAGAACATGTCCTGCGGTTCTGCTTGTTGACACGGCCGTCAAGAAGGAAAACAGAATCTGCAACAGCTCGTCCTCACAAAACTGCTCTCGCCGTGCATAGTCCTCCGGCTTCAGTTCGTACAAGAGCTGCGCTTTGAACGGGTATATTCGCCGGCGAAGCACCCGCCACATGAAGCTCCGGCTTACGCCGAGCTGAAGAGCAGCAAACAACGGATTGAGATGTGGGCTCTGCTTCAAAAGCGTCAAGAACGGATTGCTGATGTCTGTTTTGGCAATGTTTCTATGCAGTTCGGCGGTTTGCTTTCCATGTTTCCATCTTGAGTAAACCTGGTCACTCGCTTGATGACGGTGGGTTGAGAGGGTGGTCTCTTGTCAAAGGCAGCCCGGCACTTCACACTTTCTTGAGGCTTCCTGTCCGAGTATACCAAAGAACAACTTGCGATCTTGCATGCCTCCCAGGAGATAGCTCATACTCGAGCAAATTGTTATTATTATTATCTCTCCTTGGAGCTCAGTTATCGCATGGTAAGGCGTTGAATAAAAACAAGAAACAGCAATAATGAATGAAGTTAACACAACGAGTCAAAAAGCGCAAACGACAAACTGCGAAAGCAGACGATGCATGAAGCAAGAACTGTCGCAGACAAAGGTGTCATTTCTAAAGCAGCATCTGCAGAACCAAAAACTCGAATTAAAGCGCGCTTTTCTGTCCGGCGCGTCCACTGAATTGGTAGCGCCATCTCTCTTAAGCCAAAGAAACATGGCCGCGTCCCCCCGACAGCGCCACTCAGCCCTTAAAAAAAATCAGTTTTTTTTTTTCTTTTTTTGCGTGCTCCGAGTTTGAAATTTCAGCACAACAATGTGACCAGTTAAAAGACAATTTTGAGAAAAGTTGCCATAAGATCCGTCAAGTTTCTGATTTTTGCGAGTCGTTTTAGCGTGTAATATTTTTGGGGGGACACCCTCTACTATGTTGTCTAATTGACAGCTGAGAAAATTGTCGCTTGAACTACCCAGTCCCACTCGTCGGTAAAACACACACAATAAATTAGCCGGGTCAACGTATGCCTGCCGATTCGGAGACAAACGCGCACACTCGAAATCGCCTCATGACGTCTCACCCTTGCTGTAAGGTTGCTTTCCGTATCATTAGCGAGCATGTGTAGAAGCACGTAGAGACTAACCTTCAGACCATGTTCATCTGTGCCCGTAGAAAATATTGTAGGGCTACTCGGAGCAAGCAGCCTGTGTAGTCTGTGCAGCGAATCAGCTAGCACCACAGTGTGGTGATGGCCGAGGTGTGGGCCTGGAACCATTCAAGATCCGAGATGTAACGCTTCCCCGATTATACACTTGGGAATAAAGCGTTATTGTTCAGATTGTTGCTGTAACCTATATACAAATACTATCTTACCGGCATTGACGTAGAATATCGGGGTAGTGATAAAATACCGGCAAGAACCCATCCCACCGTCCCAACTTTCCACGTGCGGCGACTCACAAGGTCGTATAACTGTGGTAGAGCAGGGTCAACACGTGGTCCTTTCCGGTATTTTTAAAACAATAAAAAAATTTTAAAATGCGCTAATTTTTGTAAAATATTTTTATATATTTATATAAAATTAAAATTATTTGTTAAATGCTTAAATATAATTTATTTAAGTAATAATTTGCGTTTAAATAAATACGAAACTGGCATTTCTGTCCGCACCCTCCGTTTATAGACCTTTTCACCCTCCGCCGCATGGGCGCTGCCATCTTGGAATCACGTGATGCGGCCGCCATTAGGTTGCTTCAACTTGTTGCTCCGCTCTCCCGTCCGCGCCTTGGCGCATGCGTTGAATTCGTGTTTTTCGTCGCGTTTCACCGCGTCTCTTGTCTTACTCCGTAAAGTGTCGTCCGATACTTATTCTTACCATTCAATTGCATTACACCATTATGCGCGCAACTTCTGCAGTTGATCTTGTAACACGTTTTAAATATTTTTTGCCGTCGGTGTGCGGGATACGTGTGAAAAGGTTTTATAGGAACAGGAATCAGCGTTAGCACTTGCACACATTGAATACATATATGACTTGAAGAGAGCCTCGAGGGTTCAAATACCAATAACTTGCGAGAACTGAGGTTTGGTTACTAATAAGGGCGGAACATTTGCAATAGGAAGCCCAATGTTATTGTATATATGAGTGCGCATTGGTGTCAAGGAACAAAACAAAAACACTCAGCGTAATTAGCCACGCGTTTTTCTTGAAAACATTGTGTTTCGTAGTTCCAACAGATCGAAAACAGTTTATTTTGATTACACTAGGGCACTAGTGGACAAGGCGCGCGAACAAACATTTAGTTTGAATTATTTTTTATGCTAGAAATAATGGTACCTTAACATTAGGCAACTTGTTTGTTTGCAATATCACACCTATATCTGTTTTACGTTCTCAATCGCGTGTGTGATATAAGCATTCGCTTTATCGGTTTATTTATGAATTCCACGGAATTGTATACCGTGCTTGGTCCCATGTCTATAGTCTTTCAGTTGCTTAAGTCATATTTTAATATAACCATGCAGTTTCAATTAATTTATTTCAACACAAATATCTGAACTCCCCGCGTAAGAAACTGCCACAGACAGCTTGATAGTGCCTATGATTCACAAAATGTGACGCCGAAAAGAATCCTTCTGCATGAAAATCACCCGAGTGCAGCCGGTTGTAGACTTCGAATTGGGAGTTACTTTCAGTTGATGGCGATGTCAAAATATGCAAAGCACATCGTTTCAAATCAGTGAACAGCTTTCTACACGGGTCCATTGGGTGGCGCCTGGCGTTCGACTTCAGCCAAACTCATTGGAGATCATTTCTTTTGCGCTCTTCAATTTCATTCGGCAAATTTTACGGAAGATGAATATCAGACTTTATTTGAAGTATGGCATTCACTTATCTTACCATTCTCATACCTTGAGAACGTTGTAAGAAAATGTCCATATAACAAAAAGTTTATTTCATAAGGCCAATATTTTGAAATGCTGTAAATGAGTACTTTTGTTAAAGAAATTTTCTAGTCAGCCTAGGCTGGTCTATCAAAACATTTCTCAAGCGCTTAATTTCTTTAAATAAAACAGGCCGAGACAATATCACTTTTTTATATTATCTACCTGATTATATTAAACTTTTCTAGTCATTATAAAAGACGTTTCCAGTCTCTAAGTTAGAAAAGGTTGGTGTACGGAAACCAAACATCGAACAGTATAAACTTGTTAACTTTCATCTGTTCTTGGTGATTCAGCAGATTGTTAATCATGTTGTCGACCTGATTTTTCACTAAGCACTCATGCAATATAGTCTGTTGCAATATAAGATGATCAGTTCAATATCTGACTTGAGCGCGAGCTATCTACTTCCGTACCGCTCGGTGCACGCACAGTCAAAGCACGGCGGCAGGCAACGAGCGCACGCTGCAGGCGGAGCTTGTCCTGCTCTTTATTTTTTTTCTTCTTAAAATTAGTGTCCGCGGGTACGGCCGTGGACAATGGTAATCCTTCCTGTGCGTCAGCGCAGTTTGTTTCCCCGCCGAACCTGGCCGAAATTAACGATGGACGGAAATCAAACGCATATAGTGTTTGTAAAAAAAGATCGCAATTTAGGCTCGAAACCGCTTCGTGGTTAGCCAAGGGGCTCAATACTATTTTTTCATTTGCTGTGTGCTACTAGAAAGAAATTCATATCGCAAAATTAATCGAAAGTGGCATGGAACAGCATCACAATCGCGTGTACGTTGAAACCGAAACCGACCAAATTGAAGCAACCTAATGGCGCCGAGTGCGCCAGCGCCCTCTACCCGCCGGTCAGGTAACTACTGAAATGAAAAGGTCTATAGGACCTCCAGAACCGCGTACAGTGTTTGGATTCAAGCTTTTCCGAACCGCCGCCGCCGCCGCTAGGTTCGCCGCTATTCAATAATGGTGGATCCGATCGTCATGCGGACAGGACTGAAGTTTACCTTCTAACTTAATTTTGTCAAATCACTGCAATGCTATCCCAGTACAGCACGTCCGGCTTTTGTGAGTGATTTTTTTTTTCTTGTGACCTCTTCTTTAAATTTATTCGTGCCGTACCATCGCTTGTCCGCTCTGTCCAACTTCACAATCGGCAACTTTCGAGCCTTGTGCCTTGTCAAGTGATACAGCGATACCTGTATAGCGAACGTATCGAAACCTCTTAATTTTTCCTCAATTTCAGACAAAACCCCAGTGACGAAGGGGATACTGGGATCCCTATTCCTGACGTCATGCGCACTCCACACCCCGTTTTTGGCTCACTTGAGGCATTATGTGCTGTACGACGTTTCGGATATCGTGGAGAAACGAGAGGTAAGGATGTTCGTTCGGTTCTATCATATTTAGTGTTTCTAATGGTTCACCGTAATGTTAGAAGCTGCGAATAATCAGTGGGAACCCGACTGCCGATCAAGAACGCTCCAACTTTTTATCTTGTCTAGTCCGAACCGATGCTCTCAAGCTCAGGTAAATGTTCTAGAACCTGTCTGTTGCGCCGACAGCCGGCACAGCGAACGCAAGTATGCCGGCTGTAGCCTCCCATTGGCTGGCGCCTGTTGCTTAAATATTCCGCTGATATATTCTTGCTAGTGTTAACGTACCGGCAGTCAACCGTATATCCCCGTGTGGGTTGCACAAGCGGCTGTTGTAGCTGCAATAAAAACGTGCCAGCGGGGTCCTCTCATTGGCTAGCCACTGTCACATGAGTGTGTGGAATTCACTCTATGTGGACCAGATGACGTTAGCAACGTATGTCTGTTCAAAATGCCTCTGGCTGCTGTCAACCTTCATTTTCCTGTAGTCGGCTGTTTCTACTCGTAAGTGGTTGTACAGTCGTCCCTGTCATGCTTAGAAATATATCATCTGCCCCTGATTATTGGCAAGCAGTATGCGGCTCATGTTCATTCAGAATGTTGAGGCAAGTTAACCTGTGATAAACAAGAGATTTCATGTGGACCTCTTTGAAAGTGGTGATTGTGTTTCTCCTTGTCTTCTTCATTTATCCTTTCTGTATACTCTGACCACGAATGGCCTCGGTGGCTCCGATGTAAAGCGCCAACCTATAACCCCAGGTGGTGGGTTTGAATCCCGGCCGAGGTGCCCGCAATTTGACGAGGGCTTATTGCGGAGAAGGCGCCGTGTTACCGACCTTTCGGTTGCTAGTCAAAAGATGCCCAGGTGGTCGAAATCATTCCTTAGTCCTCCGCCGGGGCGTGCCAGGTGCTCGTCGTTGGTTTGGCACGTAAAATTTAACTTTTGACTGACCGCAAATGAGCTCGTTTGACTTTCCAAGTCTAGAAATTGGAGGCTTAAGAGTATGACGCGGCTTTTCGTTTCTTTCATTTTGAACCCAGTTTTGGAGACTAGTCACGTCGAAGATATCTTTCCTGGATACGAAGGACCTGGTTTGTGGATCGCTTCTCATTTACTACTTTAGAATATTTGAGCGGCGGTACGGCTCGCAGAAGTTTGCGGTGAGTTGATGTCTGTCTCCTTACTCTGTTTGGTTTGTGCTAGCAAGCAGTGAGAGTAATATGGTAAATTCTCTCTCCTTGCAGTCTTTCCTCTTAGCCACATCTGCAGTGGCTACCCTTCTAGAGCTTTCGTCCATATATGCTCTGAAGCATTTCGAAGTACCTCTCTCCTTGTTTCCAAGTGGACCGTAAGTGGCTGGTATTATAATGCTCAATGGCTGATGTATTGTGTTTGCATTAGAGGCAGTAGATTGGTTTTCAGGGTATTGCATTCCTTTCTGGGTTTTCCGGCAATATTTTTATTTATGTTTCAAGGTTGTTAGCAGTTCAATCGCCATTTTTCGTCCTGGAATTATGGATACTGTAAACAACTTTATTTTCGCAGGCTCAGTGTTTTGCGAATTTTAAGAAGTGTGGGTTTTGCAAACATTTTACGGTCATAAAATTTCACAATTCTGAGCGGTGTTCTATTTATTCATTACTGTGCTGTAATATATCCATGAGACCAATTTTTTACAAAATTGTTCAAGTCACTTAGTCAGCAGAATAGAGGTTCTTGCAAAAATTAAGTTGTTTATGGTATACTCTAAATTGGCCACGCCTAGATTGCGGAGATGCATCATTTTACTGAAAGCATTTCTGATTAACGGCAGCGTTTAGCTTCCAGTTTCCTAAAATTATATGATCTTTCCTTCTTTTTCTCAATTACTTTTCAATACCACCACCATCTCCAAAATTCAGCACTGCCATTGGCAGTGTCTAGTTGAGGCACTGCAAACCCATGCACTTATTTGATTGACTCTCTTTTTATTTAAGAAAGCATCCTTTTTGTTGCTAAACGAATAAAATGAGGCTTTTTTGTAAGTTCTGTTAGAGATAAATATAGAATTATTGGTGCTTGGATGCAGTGATAAATTACAGGCATTAGGAGATCTCGGTGTGGAAGAACTTGTTTTAGAAGACAACACGCCATCACAAAGATTGGTTTGGCTCACCGAGAGGGGCAAGGCCAGAAACAAACTCGACTGGCAAATAGACCCAAGGTGGCGGTGCACTGCCCTTAACAAGGAAATGTTGATACTCTCTAACCCGGGGTTCTTAAACATGCACTGGGACGCAGCCCCCAAGTATCAAGTGGCTGCTAACCACGTCTCAAGTGCTATATGTATCAAATAATGGTCTTATCATGTCATCTGTTTGTTTACACTTAAAATGTAGCTCTGCACTCATTACGTGTTTACTTATTTTTCTCTATTCTATTTCCTCTGAACTAAGTATTGTTTTGCCTTAATTTTTGCTTTTGATCTCTTCCTCGTGTTAATCACCTGCGCGACGATCCCTCTACTATGTTACAAGTGCGAGCTGTTTAGGACTCACCCCAGCCACACAAACTCTTGCTCAGTGGGAGCAACTTCAAAAGATAGAGTTTGGGTTTTTAGGAATCAAAAAATGCAATTAAAATGCAAGAATAGCCTAATAATGCTGCTACAAAGATTGTCAGGCAAGCAAAAACTGTCGTAGGAAGCTTTTTTTTTTTTTGAGAGGTGTTGAATTTGATTATTTCCTTAGAAAATCTAGCAACCCCGCAACAAAATTGTGCTTGCCCTTTTCTTCCGTTGAAAAATGCAAGCAAGTGAGTGGTGTGGTGTAATGTTGCATTTTGTCATTGCATCAGGGATGGGCCTTAAGTAGTCACATTAGGAAATAAAGCTAAAGATGCAAGTTTGCAAAAAGCAGAAAGCATGAGGTGCCTTCTTTAGAAAATCTTTATATGTCCAATGAGAGACTCGGCTGCTTTGCAAGGTAAAAACAACTGCTGTTTTGGTGTATGTTTTTGTCCTAAAACATGATCCCCTCTTCCCCCTCTCTGCATTGGCCCTCGACCTTTGGGGTGGGCTGTCTGGCCCCTGCACCCAAACGAGTTTGAGACCCTTCCTCTACCTATCTGGTGACTCGGGGATGGGCAAAATACATGCAGATATGTATCGAAATACAAATACAAAATACTTTGTCAAAAAATGCATTTAATTACAAATATAATTACATTTCCAAAAAAGCATTTAATTACAAGATACAAATACAACCAAATGTATTTGGTCTCCTTCAAATACTTTTCCAAATACATTCCTCAAAATTTGCGTCAGCGACTTCAGGGCACTGGCAACAGGTTTCTGGGTATCTCGTTTTAATTTTGCATCGCACACCCGGGAGTTAGTGTGCGAGGCTCTAGTAACGTAATTGAAATATGATCACAAAAAAATGTAATCAGCTTGGACGTAATAGGCGAAAAAAGTACAGAGCTTCAATCAGCTTTTTTTTGTCGATTACATTTTGGTATAGACCAACAAAGAACCGAGACGACCAAGACGCGCAGCACTAGCTAGAAAATTTTTTATTGTTGCAACTCGCACCAGTTACGAAAATCTGGACATGCCGCGCATTTAGAATGTTCCAGGCAAAAATATGGATGGAAATCAAGCTGTAAAGCATCACAAGTTGTCACAGGCACTTAATTATTTAGGCAGTCTGCCTGTGATTGTCGATTTCGTCACTATTTTTGCTTTGGACTAGCACCGTAATCACTAAGTTACTGAACGCTTGTGCTTGATTGAGAGACACTGCATTCGGTGCAGAACATAGTTTTCTTCCTGCTCTGGACAGTGACAATAAATTTGAGGGATGTATTTTCGGCCACAAAATTGTATTTAATTACAATTGTATTGGAAATACCCACATTTTAGTATTTAAATACACACGTCAAATACATTACCCAATTTGTAATTAAATACAAATGCAAAATACACAAAGTATTTCATATACATATTTTAAATATTTGTATTTGAAATACTGCCCATCCCTGTGGTGACTATATTTGGCATAATAAGGTTGTGCTCATCAAGGAGGTCTCGTCAAGTTGGATAATTTTTTGCTTAAATTAAGTTAGGTGGAAATTGGCATCAGAAGCTCAGTTTAGATTTTCAAATCCCATCCTAAAACAGAAACCTCTGCTGTATCCTAAGAATGTTTAAACAATCTAGGTCTGTATACATTGGAGGTCTCTTGGTCAGTACAGATTGACACATTAATTGATGTTGCTGCTCAAAGATGAGTTTCCTCTTGCGACAGTTCTTCTGAAGAATGTTTGTTATAATATCTGGTATCCACAAGTAACACCTTTGATGATGATAATAATAGTAATATTTATTTTGGTTCAGGAGAACCGCTATGATTTGCTTATCGAATCATGACAAGGCATACATCTATGTATCCAAGTAGCTTGGAGATCTTGGAACCTTTTTATTTATTTCTATCATTGTTATATAGAGAGCCAGAATTTTATTTTATTTTTGTCTTCCAGAAACTGATTTCTCATTCATACAAATTATACTAATAAGGAAAATGGAAAGCAAAGGAATGAAATGACAAACACATTGAACAAAAGGGAAACAACTGCACCATAGCCCTAAACCCACAGAGCTGTTTATGAAAGTAAAGCACAGTAAAATGTTGCTTGGCTATGTCAAAGATTAGTGCATCAGACATAAGTGGAGCTGCACCAACAGCGGCCCCTAACACTGGAGTTTGAGTGAAAGCTCTATTTGGTCATAGCTGTGAATTTACATTGCACACAGCCTCTGCCTAATGCAAAGAATTCTAAAACGTAAGACAATTTTCCTTTTTCCTAATATGCCCTCATAGATTTATGTTTTTGTTCAAAGTTATACTCTGTGCTATTATGCAAATGATTTCACAGCTTGTGGACAAGTGGGCCACCTTTAATGGGGGAGTTAATCAATTTTCTTTCTGTTTTGATTTCTCTTTCAGGTATGCACTTGTGTTTGCCTTATTTGTGAACTACTTCCTGGATATTCCCAGAGTAGCCCAGACCTACGTCCTGGGAGTTCCAGTCACAGGAAAGACACTTACTTACCTACTTGGTCTACAGGTAAGAATCAGCCTTCCCTCGTGTTTTTCTAGTGTAGCAGTTCTCAAACTGCGGTTCGCGGAACCCCGGGCGTCCTCGAGAGCGTTCGTGAGAGTCCGTGCCAAGTTGAAAAACTGCTCTAGAAACAAAACCCCTCCTATGCCATCGCGCAAGTCCTCTGATGCAAAATGTATCGGGGGTCCCGAAACGGCCTTCGAGTGGGTCAGTGGGTCCGTGACGGTCAATAGCTTGAGAACCGCTGGTCTAGGGTCTCGCCTTAATCTCATCCTTTCGTTTTCTTGTCTTTTAGGTGATAAGCACCTCAAGAGAAACTGCAGTCTGTGGACTATGTTCTTTGGTGAGCAGCTCAAAGTTTGGGTATTGCTCCCATCACCTCTATCTCTCCTTGCTGAGAAACCAATAGCCTTAGGTCTTGTGCTCTAGGGGCATCTGCATTCTGACACTTTGAGATAAAGATAATGGGGTGTAAGTTGTTAATCAAAGCTATCACACTATATTAAGTATGTGCTGCTTTTATTTGACTTTCTGGCAGGGTATTTGTTGCTCTCATTATTTCATGGGCATGATTCTACACTGAGCCATTTTGTGTGCATCTAATCGGTGCTAGATACTTGCGCTGAATTAAGAAAGAAAGTGTGTAACCCCTGCACAGGCTCTTGAAACTGTTGAATTACTTCAATAACTCTGGTGTGTCATATTAGAATGAATAACCATATTTTTTGGGGGAAAAAAAAGGAAATGTCAGGTTTTCTATTCTGCCCTACTCAATCAGTTTATTTTCCACCTTATAAGAATAAAGATTGAGAAGCAGTGGAAGGAAGCTGCCCTTGGGCAGCTCGATGGGTCCACTGTGGCAGCACTGTGGCACGATGGGGCAGCACTGTGGTGTAAAAGTACAAGTAAAAAGAAAAACGCTAAACTTTACAATGCTGACATGTCAAAATTATATTCTAATGCTATCTTATGTAACACAAAGTTTACAAGTGAATAAATTAAGAGTATATGAATATCGCTTCGAATCCAATAGCACAGTGTCGTCCCTAGATTGAACGCTGGGAAAAGATCTGGCATGTCCTGGCTTTCATTTGCCCTTTAAAGCGGTACTTTAACGAAATTTAAAATATACCCGTCGTGTTCAGAAATAAGCTGAATCTGATCCACAATATTCGTAGATGACAATCGCACATTTGTATTTTGAGCCTGATGGCTGTATTTTTCGTTACAAACGGCCCACTTTGACAAGCGCTCGGAGATCAGCCAGCGGAGAGCACGTCACATCCGTTGCAATCGTGACATAGTTTGTCTCGGGCCCTTATGTTCAGACACAGCGGACACTGCGAGCTATCCCAGCCAATCCCGCTCTGTGGATGTAGCCCATGATACGCTTTTTGTACATCTCTGCCCTCTCTCCAACGTCACGTGACATTCACACAGCCTTGGATAAGCCCTGATGGCTCGTAGCACCCACTGAAACAGCCGAAGCACACCAGCGGGCCACCGCAAGTAGGCCCAAAGCTGCCTTTACGAATTTTGAGTGACAGATTAATCTTCTATAATTTTGTAGAGGGACAATAGCGAATTCTGGAACACGCAAAAGAGAGTCTCAGGGAGAAAAGAGTTCCTCCTTCAGCTCTTCCCTCGTCATGATCATAGGCGAGGCAGCAATCGTCTGCCCAGCCCAGTTGCACCCTGGAACATCACACCTATTCCAATTAATTTTTCTCTTTCCAAGTATTACAAGAAGAATGTACCAGTGGAAGACCTTAGGCAAGAGTTCTTCCAGATCTCCGAAAACTACAAAAACTTTGTACAGTTTTACACGGATGGAACGAAGGGGAGCAGCAGTGTAGGATGTGCTGTAGTCGGGCCGTCATGCAGTATTGTAACGCGGCTCAGCAACCAAGCCACCATCTTTTCTGCAGAGTCATATGCCCTACTGGTAGCTGTGGATACTATCATCAAAAGAAATATCAAGGCCACCATAATTTTCTCAGATTCTCTCAGTGCACTCCGTGCACTTGCATCCCTAGATAGATCAAAAGATGCTTTTATTGTGCAAATACGTAACAAGATTGTAGCTGCCACAAACTCCAACATCACCATTAATTTCTGTTGTGTCCCTAGCCACATCGGTATAGTCGGAAATGAGGAGGCCGATAAAGCCGCTAAAACATGTCAAGACATGGACACAGAGGTTACCTGCATCCCATACCTGGATGGATTACAGGGCATCATTGAAAAAGTCGATTAAAAAAAAATGGCAGGAGGAATGGGACCTGAAGTCCATAATAAACTCCATTGCGTGAAACCTGTCCTTTCTGAGTGGGCCAGTTGCCGGTATAACGAGCGTTTTTATGAAGTTGTTCTCTGTCGCTTGAGAATTGGTCACACTCAACTCACACATGGCTTCCTTCTGCGAGCAGAGGATGCTCCAATGTGTGAAGAATGTGGTGAAACACTCTCCGTCTTGCACATTTTCATTCAATGTCCGAAATATCATGAAGAATGTCGCACCAACTTTTCACGTTTGTTTAAAGAACAGATCCCATTTCACCCAGCCCTTTTGCTGGGAGAGGAGCCTCTTGTTCCTCATAACCAAGTTTTTAACTTCCTAAACAGTATTGGCCTATTACAGCACATTTAAGTTAGTGAATTTTCTTTGTATTGTCTACATTTTATGAAAGATTTTAAACTCTCATATCATGCCTCACCTTTAACTAAATAGCACCACAGTTTTTTCTTCTACCATTGTTCTGGCGCACTATGGCCTTAGCAGCCGCTGCGCCATTAAAACCCAAAATCAATCAACAATAATCGTCACTACCTGTCAAGGTTCCTAGACTGGCATTACAAACAAGGTGTTAACGACATCCACCAGGGGCTCTTTGCTAACAGTTTAATTCCTTTTAAAATTCCTTTTCGTGTCTTTTTCAACGAGAGATTGGTGTGTCTGATGTGCTAATGCTCCCTGAACACGAATAGACCAAGAAACGAGCGTCAAAATTTTGTTGTAGTGCCCCTTTATATGCTATGAATGATGCAGTGCTATTCGATTCCAATTGTTACATGCAGATTACTGGAATTAATAAAAGTGAACAAGCCGACGGGTATTTAAAGGGGTGGCTATGTCATAGGCTGCCACAGTGTATGACATAGCCACCCCTTTCCAGAGTTTAGACTAGGTGTTCATACCACATCACCTACTGCTTCGCTAACCAGAGGCTACATCACCTTCTGCGTCGCTAACTAGACGCCAGCATGGAGCACAGATTGGTCACAAGTGCTGTGTCAGCGTTTGAGTTCCAACCCAGCATAGATGTGGCACTCGTGTCAAATACGTGCCCTGTGGTGGGCTTCATTAGGTGACATAGAAAATCCAGCACTAAAATCTTGTTATCTTTAGTATGTTGCAAGGATAAAATAGCAGGAAAAGCTCCATCCACAAAGCCCTCCACTTTTCCCAGTCTCATGGAACATTTTAGAGGAGGCAAGTGGGGAGGAAGAAACTACCAATCATAGAGATCAAAGACAGGGAGCTTTGTGGGGGGAACTTGTCCTGATTTTTCTCGACCTGCAACAGACTGTAGGAGGCATTGCTTTCAGTTCAAAGCCGCCTCGTCCACGTATGACGGCTGCGTTTGCCTCGCGGCAGGTGGCGGGAGCCCTGTGTCGCTGGAACGTGCTTTATGTGGGGGCGCTCGTGAGGGTGCCCGGCTGGATGGGGCGGCTGTGCTCGGCCACCCTGGGGCGCCTGCTGCGGTCGGGGCCGCCCCACGAAGGCCCCGTGCCCATGGGGGCCACGCTGGACATCCAGCGGCAGCAGCAGGCCGAGCTGCTCGAGATGCAGCTGCTCCACCGGAGGGCCGCAGCCAGGTCGGCCTCTCTGCCGCACCGCCGCTCCTCCTCCGCCGGCCTGGTGAGTGGCAGCGGGAGAACCCTATGCACAGCGCAAGTTCGTCCGTTTATTGCACAGGAGTTTTGGCGACGTCAGAACTACGCTGAGCTGTGATCGGCTCCGATTGAAAGGATAGCGGGCAGGCCTGAATGCTAGATGCCCCAAGGTCTACCCACTATTTTTTTTTTATTCATCCAATCGGTGCTCGGCGTTCTGTCGTCGTCGCAACTGCTGTGCAAGAAGCAGACAAACTCGCGTTCTCCATAACCACCAACAGAATGAGAATGGTGGAGAGGAGTCTCGGCTGTCCTGCCGTCTCTGGCGCAAGCTTCCTACCTTTTCGACCCTTCGCCGGCTTGCGAGCCTCGAGCTTGCGTGGCAGCCAAAGCTCGGCAGGCGGCAATGAACGTTTGTGGAAGTCGGGACATCCGGAAGAGAAGCCCTGCCATTCTCGTCTTGTCGGAAACCTCAGCTACAATGCGTGTAACTCATCTCTGATCGGCGTTTTTTCACCGCGCCCTCGAAAGTGGCCCCTCGATTTCCTCTTGACGATGTCGCAGACGTGTCGCGCCATTGCCCGTCGTGATCTTGGCGGTGTCGCAGCGGCGGAGGTACTTGCGATGGGTGCCGCTTTGCGGTGGGTCGATCACCGGCTTTACGGTTTGTGGGAGCTTTGGCGGCCACGAGTCGGGATGCCACAACTACGACAACACCAGTGTTCTTTTGCCTTTTCTTTTTTGCTGGAACCTCTGGAACCAATGGCCACCAGGTTTGCGACGTTCTCCGGCAGGGTATGCCGGCTCATGTGACATAATTTGTTGCCACTTTGGAGCCACTTTTTACGGACGGGGGGTGTGGGTCACCGGATGCACCGGTCGAAGACTCGTTTGAGGTGCCGTACAATGTGGGAACCACAGCTTCCCTACTTGCTTGAACCCTTTTCGCTCTAATTACAAACTAGGCCCCCACGTCTTTTTTTTTCTAACATGGATACGAACGATTTTTCGTGGCTACGCCAAGGGAGACAATGTTCTCATGCGAAAGGGCTGCCTGTGTTGTGACACTAATGTGACGTTGCAGACGTTCAAAATTTTGGTGCAATTTGCAGATACTGGAACAAATGCTCTCTGGGCCTTCTCATTCGCTATGCTCTTTCCGGGGATGGTTCTAGGGATTAAGCACCCACCAGGCTCGAAATTTGTGATGCAGTTGCTTACCGTTTAAATTTTGCTTATTTATTTCTGCCCTCGGGGCCAGTGGCATGACAAAGGTGAGTGTTGAAAGAACAAAGCAAATAATGGTATAAAACATGAACTAGCTAACCAAAAAGAATACGTGGTTTGGAAGACTTGAACAAGAAAGAGCACAATTGACAATTGATGCAAGTGATGCAGTTAGATGATTCTCCTCATTCCAAATTCTAGGGATAAATGGTGCAAAATATATGTGATGAGGGCAGAATTGAACGCCTACTTTGTGAAGGTGATCCTTTCAGAATCAAATGATGGTGGGGTTATCAGCTCTTTTCCGAGTATGTGTTGTGGTGGAAAATTTTGTGAAAAAGACAAATACTAGAAATGCTGCGGCGGTGGCGAGGTTTGGTAGAAATAAAGAGTTTTTCATTAATGTTACACTAGCGGTGTGATTGTGACCAGCCAGAATAAAACGCATGGGCCTATTCTCAAAATTCAAGTGAGTTGGCAAGGTGGGTGGTACCAGGATCCCAGATGGAGGCAGCATATTCAAGCGTGGAGTGCACTAATGTTTTATAGAAAAAAATAGTTTAACGATGAAGGGCCCGGAGAAAAGATATGTTTAAAGATAACCAAGCTTACGGTTGGCGCTATTAGTCACATAATTAATGTGTAGGTTCCAGGAAAGATAGGAACTTAAGTATAAACCAACGTTTACGTCCATTAAGTTCAACAATTTTTTTTTTTTTTGCTTTTTGCTTCGTTTTTATCATGTTACCTTTTTTGGCTTTGCCAGGTGACAGTTGCATTCATATCTCACTGAGAGGAGTGCAGTCATGAAGTGATCATCATTTGAAACTTAACAACTTACAGTAATTGTCTGTGAGAATTGTTCTTTACTCTTACTAGAGGGATGTTGGCATTTACTAAGAACAGTTTATGAGAGCTGAGAATTTCTTTGCTACAGCACACAAATAAATTTCTGTGCAAGTGCCAGAGTTAGCGGCTGTCGGCAGTGTCAGATGCGTATAAATGTCAGAAGCCTTCTGCTGTCTCTCACCAGTTTCAGCAAGTATATTTCTCTACACCTCTTGTCGCATCTTGAAAGGCACATTGAATTTGTACTTATGCACACTTTGCTCTCATTTTTTAAACCCAGAGTCGGCAGCAAATGGCACAGGGTTACTCCGAGAGACTAATACCCAACCTCGACGACCAGGATTCCTGGGATAACATCCTCAATTCCGGTGCCTACGGTGAGCGTCACACTTTTCTTATGTTTTTCCGTGGAGATTTTGCTAAACATAAATCAATTTCGCTGTATGCGTAATGTACGGTCCATCGACAGACATCAAATTCCCATCTGCTTCATTTCAGACACCCAAGCAAACATTCTTACTGCTCAAACCGAAGAACAGGTATGTTTGCAGAAAGGCCAGCTCTATTGTTGAGCGCAGTCTTTTATTTTCAAGTGCCTATTGCTATGCACACAGATAAGGTAGAAATTAGTATCATTTGATGATCATACAACGTGGCTTCCGCTCGCGTTATAATAGTACAATGATGTCTCGTTAATACGGACATCTCCGTTCCGCCAAAACATTTTCCATAATAACGAGACAAAAATGCATGTATTTTCCTAGTTTGTCCCAAAGAATGGTGTCCATATAGCGGAAAATCCATATTAATGGGGTCCATATAAAGGAGACATGACTGTAATAACATTTTTTCTCTGTTTGAGGGCATCAAAACCTGCTTTCCCGTTACATTCGTGCAAATTCGGTACTTTATGTGGGTAGTTGGTCCCTTGTAGATTACAACTCAGTAAAATTCTTGGCAGGCATGAATACCTTGTCGGAGGGGCTGAATGAATTAGGTAGCTTGCAGCAGTATAAACCTTTTATCAAAACCACGGAAGGGAGGGGAGACAACTCAGTTTATGTTTTTGTTGCCTCTTACCTCAAATCAGACAGTCCTGCGATCCGCATTGATGTATGTTTTCCAGTTTTAAGTGTTCTTCCTGTTCACACTAATTGGAGCATAAGTTTTGCCTCCTTTTAACAGTGATGTTGCTTCGTTTTTGCAGGTGCAGACGCTTGTGGACATGGGCTTTGATAGAGAAAACGTCCTAAGGGCATTGCGAGATTCCAATAATGATGTGCACCTGGCAACCACATTACTCTTGAACGAGAGCTGAAGTACAAAGTAGCACCCATAGGGACTTTGGTGAAAAGGACACTCACAAAGCACTGTGTGCAATAAATGTGATTTATGACTACTGTCTGTAACATCCCCAGTGACTAGTCTTACCTCTTGCAGGTTGTTCTGAATGTATTACATCGTAAAGGCTGTTGTGAGTCCTTGAAGCAGGAAGGCACAACAAAGATGTCTAAAAAGATATAGTTTGCAAGCAGTATAAACTTTTCGTTGGTTTCTATTGAAGCCTTTCAATTTTCAGTAGCCTTACAAGGCAGAGTTGCAAAGCTAGGAACTGAAATGGAAACAATCAAATATTCATACAAGATCCATACGGTAATTATGACCCATGACAGTGCTACAAATGGCTACATGAAATTGCTTCGAATGTAAAGCAGTCTTCTCAAAAAACATTGACATGTCAATGGAACTACTCAAAGGCACTGGAAAACACTGATAGACATTTATTGGTAAAAAGAATAAGAAATCGGCTGAAACCAACAAACCTGTTTTCCCAATTATGCTTGTTTATTGACAGTAGCATGTAACCTGCACAAACCTCTTCAAAATAATGGGTGGAAAGTTGCTTTTGCTTAAATACACATTTAAAAATATAGGTGCAATATGGATATGAATGAAAGCTTGTAATCTGCTTTTGCACCATACAAACGGTGTTCAGGGAGCAATGGCACATACTAATCTCCAGTGTGCAGCGGAATCGTGCCACAATCGAGAGTGCCCTTGTGTTCACTCCTGCCTTGCGGTACCGTGTGCAGAACCACATATGTATGACAAGTGCTGATTGTTGGGCAAGTTGGTATGGTTTTTGTTAGAAATCAGTTGAAAGTTAGTGCTCTGTGGTGTCTCTTCTTCCTATGTCCCTGTCTTCAAAGCACAATCATGTTTTCTAAAACACATATGTGTGACCTTTATTCACTATGTTAAGCCTGATTTATCATTTTTTTCCAGTAGTTGCGCTTGCTATGGTTTTGTCTCCAAGTCTAATATGTTTGTGCAGTTTTACAGCATTTCAGTGAAATTCTGCTTTCTTCATATTGCACTGTGACTGGCATTGGGGCTCTGTGAAGTAGCTAAGTGGATAAGCTCTTATGGAACGCTTTCTCATGGTTCATGCTCTGGCAGTGCAGATGAACTTCTTTCATAGTTGTGGCACCTCTAAGCGCGAATATATACTCTGACAGGCGCAGGTGAACTTTGATCTTCTAAAATAGTCTAACTTTGACTAACTTCGGCTAAAAGCATTTAACCTTTATGTCTCAAACAATTAGTACATGGTAAATGAAACATGTGAGGGTCATATAACGAGCAGCATTGTCTTAACGGATGTAATGATTATAAGCACTGTGCACTCAAATGTTGGATGGGCTATATAAAAATATACACTATGTGAATAACTCTTGCTGTCTCTACAAGTGCTTTATTACCTTCGAACACTGTGCAACATTACTAAAACTACCAGATGATGCAAAACGTGTAGATAGATAAACTCATGCATTCTATTCATTTTGCGGACTCCAGGCACTCCAGTTACTTGCAGCCCAGCAGCTATAGTCAGTGTACCAGCGGAATTCCGCGCTTCGGAAAAAAATGTTCATTTGCGTGCCATTGTACTGCCTTTGGTTTCCCACCGTCTCCTGCGAACCGGGCCATTTCCACCGTGTACCTTCCTTTCTACTTACCAACATGGGAGCAGATTTCCCTACTCTACTACTTTTATACAACATTCTTATTTCTGCAGGTTGTGACTAGCATCACTCCCCCAAATACGCCATACATATTGAAGATACCTTGTGACTACCGCTGAAGCGAAGTGTACTGGCAAAGTGGCATCGTCTAAATGCTTTTTAGGCTAAGGTCTACACATGTCTAAAACCATCCCCCCCCCCCCCAATCCCCACATACCCTCCCCATGGCCCTGTCCTTTCCCCCTCTCATTAATATTATTATCATTTATATTATTATTATCAATATTTAATGAAGGGTCTGTTGAGGTGTTTTTGCTCGGTAAGTGGAAATTCGAGTTAAAAATCCCGAATTTCTAAGGCTACCCTTCAGTTATAAAAGACCCTATGACAGTGCCACAGCACATTGCATAACGAATTTGATTACTTTATCTAAGCCTAATCCCCAGTTTTTTTTATTTTTAGGTGCTTAGTGTTCTGAAATGTAGAGACATGGTTTTTATGCCATACTGCCCAGATGAACGTTCGATCAAATTGAGGGCTACGGCAATGTTCAGAACACGACCTATATTGATGCGATGTCGTTCGGTAAAGTTTTAACCCTTACTTGACTGCCATACACTGGTCAGCGTTTCACTGCACAACGAACTCGATCAATACGGTCGCCTTCGCAGTTTCATGATGTCATCTAGGTCTTCTTGGAGTTCATCTGCTTGCCAAAGTCCTGTAGCGCCTTGTCGACGAAGCTGACCATCTTGATGACGTTCTCCTGGCTCAAGAGGGAGTCTCCAGTCCTCTTGCGTCCGGCGGCAGGATAGAGGCCGCCGGGAATACCGATTCCAGGAAAACCGCCGAGCCCGAGGCCACCCATGAAGAGCAGTCCGATGACGGGAAGAACGATGGCGAAGACTCCGAGCGCCAGGAGGAACGGGATGATCAACGCGAGTCCCGAACCTCCCAAGGCCGTTAGGCCCAGCTTTGTCTTCTCCAGGTCGTGTAAGTAGTACGTCCCGGACCTATCGCCCTTGTGCTGCTGAGGGTTCTGCGCTGCTTGCTCCACTGGATCTGAATCGGCCAAGGCTCCAGCAGCTCTCAGTAGCAGGGCGCAAAGAAGGAAGACTCGCAGTTGAGGAACCATTGCTGCGGGATCTGTAAGTATTATTAACCGGTGACCCCCGTCGTCCAGTATAGATCCACTAGCTGTCACATCAACCACAAGTCAAGGCTGGTACCCGCATCGTCAAACACAACGGTTAATCTTGTTAATCACTCTTGGTGAACGCCGGAAACATGTCCCTCGAACTAAATACTAGTGTGTAGTGGAAAAGCTGGAATAGCGACGAATTTCCTGTGACTCCATTTGTATTTCTTCTATTGGGAAGGCCTTGAAGCCTGTGACAGGAATTAAACTACACCCTAAAATGTAACTTCCACCGACCTGAGTTTCGTTGAGAGGGATTGACATCAGATACTCTCCCTCCTTGTAAGTGGAATTTCCTAGACAACTGTGGTGGCAAACTCTATGAACGAAGCTAAGGGTTCGTATTATTGTTCTATGTTTACGTGCACCGCCTTACGCGTCCCGGTTGCCCCCATCAATCGTGTTGCCAGCGGTAATTGTAGCTCCGAGAAGTTCGTTTTCCATGCGACACGGGCGCACTGCAGGAAAGCGACATTCGCAGAGCGAGACGACAAGCGCGGTCTGCCAGTACTGCTTGCTTTGAGGCGTACCCTACAGTGGCGTAGCTAGGAATTTCTTTCGGTTGGGGTGAAGCCCCATAAGGTTCCCCCCACCTGGCGCCACATCCAGTGTGAGCGCTCGTTGCGAGACGAACGCACGTTTCAAGGCCTGTAGCATTTGCAGAATCAAGATCCCTACGCAGTCCGCGCTCCATCCGTGAAGTATCGCGAGCGGTGCGTATCGTAGTGCCGGCAATTCAATCCGCGTTGATGCGCTGGCAATTACGGTGATAAACTGTATTTAAAAAAAAAAGTTTTTAAAATGACTTTGTAGCAGTTTGTTACCCTGTTTGAGTGATTATGAGTGGAATTTGATTAATTTTGAAGTAATAGGCTACTGGTACTGGCTCATTTCGAGAGACATCTATGGTATGGGGCAGTCTGATTCACGATGAGCCTCATACAATTGTACTTTTTTAAACCATTTCCTCAGTCGTACACAAGTGAGAAGAGAGAATCTGAAAGTTTCACGTTCACGCAAACAAGAATCCAGCAAACTATCGTTGGGTTACGGGGGTTTCGTGTGATAAAAGTTTCACGGAGTAGACGATGCCATACAACAACCACGTGACGTAGTAAAGTGCTCGACAGAGTAACAGTTACTTTAAAAGTAACATCACATTATTTTAGTGTCAAGTAATTAACCGACACAGGCGAGGTGGTGAACCTCCAACACAAAGATCCCACAATAAGGAACACGCAAATGCAAAATGTTTCCGGTAACGCATACAAGATTAGATAAGGAAACGTACGTGGCCCTTGACGTGAACTGCAAAATCTGCAGCTCACACAAAAAGACCTGGTGGTCCGTGCTTGCCTCGCTTGTCAAAATTACATCTACGCACCGCTGGACTATCTTAATCGCACGCTGGAAGGGCACCTTTTTGTAAGCGAATAGTCTATGCTAACTTGGCAAATGGCTAAAGCCCAGGTGACAGCTCTTCGTACGAGTTGTGTTTCTCAGCGATTGGTCCTGGCGTTCCTGGCTTTTTCACCGTTTGTCGAGCTAAGCTGAAAAAGTGAAAAATGAGGAACAATTACGAGCGAGAGCTAATGATTTCAACTATGACCTTCGCAATAAGCTGCAAGGCTTGTTCTCCAGCGGTCGTATACTTTACCCGCTCTACACAAGCGCGTGCCACACAGTTGTGACCCACGGGCGTTTCTCTATACGGAGACGGAGCGACGTGGCCTCAACCTGTCAGACCGGGGATGCTGAACCTCGAAAGTGCAGGGCAATCGGTCTTCCGACTTCAGGGACCGTAACCCCGAAGAATGGAAGAGGAGTTTCTCCATTATCTCGACCACCATGGCCGCTCGTCCATTCGCAACGAAGCTGCCGCGGCGACGGACCAGGAAGGAGGGAAATTTTCATTCATGACTTCGACACAAAGCCTAAGGAGCGATTCTTCAGATGCGCCGTGGAACGGAAAGCTTCATTGTGCGAGCCCATGTTCCTAGAAGAATGGGTTTAAGAATGGACTACTTCCCGTTTGTTCGTTTTTGTAATCATAGAGCCGAGAATGTGGGTGATGAAATTAATTATTAGCCAAATATGTTGTCACTGCTAAAAAAAAAATGTGCGGCTTAAAGAGTCCCTGATTGTACATTAGAAGTTCGTTTGGGGTCTATTTTTTGTAACGATGGATGGAGTCGCAAAAGTAGAGGTGGTACGATGTGAAAAATTGACGACGGTCGTGAGTGAGTAGCGAGTTTTAGTATTGCGTTTACATGCAAACGCAACCACCCTGTGTTTACGTTAGCATTGCGTGCTCCACACTGCGCATGCTCCATACGTACGCAATGCCGCGAGCTTTACGTACGTACGCTCGCTATCGATTTTTGCGTGCGTACGCTGTGGTTTTCTGCGTTCATGTTTCGTTGCTTTCGTCGTGCGTGGGACAGCGTGCGATTCAGATTGGCGTGACCGAATACCGGCCTCAGATTGCCTGGAGCAGTTTCCATAGGCACATCTACAGCATGTAAACTAATGCTTTAAGGCACTCAAAAATCGATTTCTCAACGTATCGCGCTGTAATTTAATACAGAGGTGCAAGCAGGTGATAGAAGTTTGCAGTAAAAAAAAATTAACTTACGTCGCTCAAAAAGAAATAAAAAAAGAGAAAGATTTTGTTCTGGGAAATATACGGCGCCACTTTGCAGACGATGCGCGGGTAGAGAGAAGTGCTGTTGAAACTTGACAGATGGCGTAAGCTGCGTCGAGTGATCGCCGGCCGATTCGGGTTGATAGCAAACGATCTCGCAAAAGAACCCGAATCAGCCGCTCCCCCTCGACGCGGCGTACGCCATCTGTCGGCGGCACTTCTCTCTATCCGTGCATCGTCCGCGAAATGGCAACGTAAACTGCCCAGAAAAAAATTTTTTTTTTTTTTCTGTACAAAGCATTTTTTTTTGTTTGTAAATTTATTTTACCTGTTTGCACCTCTGTAGCAAATTGTAGCGTTACAAATTTTTAAACCGATTTTTTTTTTTTTTTGGGGGGGGGGGGGGGCGTTTAAAGTGTTTTAAAAGCGTTAGTTTACATGCTGTAGATGACACTGCAACAGCATGCGTAGCGTTTGCGTTCCGCTTTACTAAAATCGGTGTTTTGACGCGCTCCGCATTGTTCCGCTGAGAGCCTGCGTGCGTCGTACGTAGTGCTAACGCAAGGGAATTTTCGTTATTCTAAAACTCTCTAGAGACAAGCATTCCCCCAAAGGATATAAACGCATATTGATACTCTTGAATGGGTGCGCATGCCCCGACTGATCAAGCCCACAAAAGGACTTTTCGCTCGTCTGCGTTTTGATATTTCAGGTTCGTAAAAGCTGTAAAAATATTGACGTTTGCCATCACAAAACAAATGAACTGATCTTCACAACACCTATGACGCTGATCAAAAAGAATGTTTTCGAAGCTTCTCCAGAAACAGCATGTATTTTATCTTCCCGTCTCTCTTGTCCTTATGAAGTATAAAATACCAATCAAAATGCTCCGATGTTGTCGTTGTTGTTTTTTTAGCGTCTTTTTTATGGCAATTTACGCGTCAGCAAAACTTTTGGCTATTTTTCGAATAAGCCGGTCCGAGGAAAACCTCAAGCAGGCCCACAACCCTCCCGGCTATCCCCCTCTTCTCTGGACAACTCTAAACAAACAAACAAATGCAGTTACTTTCACCCTAGAAATGGAAAACTGCGCCAACTCACCTGTCGGAAGTTATAGCCACCAGCAGACGTGGAATGTTCTTCGAGGCTAACCTTGCCCGGTCAGTGTCACAGCATGCGAAGCCACGTTCCCGGCGTTTTCTTGACGGCGGCAGCACAACGCAGACACCCACGTCGACCGCGAGCATGCAGTCAATGGTAACAAAGAAGCTAGCCCGCTCTTATAAATGGTCCTCGCTCAATCCAGCCCGCTGACCTGGATGGCCATCCAGAGGTGACAGCCGTGTCTTGTGCACGGTCCGTCAGTGTCGCCTCACTCGCCCTCGCTGTGCTCGCATATACATTTGGGAGACGAACATCACACTACAGCGAGGCGTTATGGAAATCAAGTGAATGGTGTATCCAAGACGCAACCGACTCTTATTTTTCCGGCACGGTTTCGGTGAACCGTTGTTGTCGACAGCTCCGGGGTCGTAGAACCCGACTCGTCGCTTAATGAAGTGGGTTTGTCTGTAGCCCGCTTGCGCGTCCTCTCAATGTGCACCTTACGATGCAGAAAGAGAACTCCTAAAGAGCATTCTTTTACATCTAGACGACCGGCCATTTACTACGTCCAAAATACTAAGGGCCTGGGACTCACCACTTAAAGAGGAGAAGGCCGCAAACGCCCTTCTGCGATTTTTATCAGAAATTCGCTTCGAGTTTTGTTCGTAAAAAGTTATCTACTGTTCATTATTTGTTGTCGTATAGAGGACTATTCGTTTTATAATTACTGTAAGTTTACATGTGTGCAACTGAACTTCACGCTGCCGCGTACAAAAACTCGGAGTGTTTTGGGTGAACATTGGTGACAATCCAGCACGCACTTTCAGTCTCTTAGTTTTAATGTCATATTGGAAACTGCGGCATTCTCTTAATTATTGATTCTGCCTTCACAATGTTAACGTGAGTGCTAGTATGTTACCTTTATCTCCTCTACTTTTTCTTTCCTCCTTCTTTTATCCCCTCATTACCTTCCCCAACGCAGAGTAGCCAACCGAGGCAGGCCGCCTTGGTTACCTTTCTGTTTTCTCCTCCTGCCCTTACCTTCTTCCCTTCTCTGACTTTTACTCACCCAGCTTCGTTTGTTAGAAGCGGATTGGGTACCATGTAGGTATCGTTTTGCAAGATGCGTGAGCGCTATAGAGCCAGTTAGCGTCTTTCTAAAACAAACTTTGATAAAAAAAAAATGAAAAAAGGAAAAGAACTGTATATCATGTTTGCACCAAGCCAGTGATGGCATACTTCTCGGGGGAGGGGGGAGATAGGTAATCGTGAATCTTGTTGATTAATAATGCATGTCTCTGTTGGCCTCGTATAAACTCAATACGTGATAATTGCTGCACACAGATATTGTATATAGAATATGCCCCCCCCCTTCCCCCCCCCCCCCCCCCCCCCAAAGAAAAAAAAAAAAAGATAAACTTTTTTTTGTTGTTGTTGTTTTTTCTGCGCAAACAAATTGCGCGTTGCCGAACCCTCATTATCCGCCCAAAGGTATGCTCGCGGTCCGAACTAAATGCCAAAGTCAGAACTGAACGTTGTACGTGAAAAACACGGACGCCATGACGTACGTGTACGACTCCGGAACCACGAGTATTATTACACCCTTAAAGGGGTAAGTTGTATTACTGTATAGCATGGGCTCTTTAACGTGCATTGTATAGCAGCTTCTATATTAGACAGGCACGGTGATCGGTTTACGCGAAAAGTTAGGCAGTTAAGGTCATAAACAGGCGCCAGCCTCCAAGGATACATGGCTTATTCGTTTCTGCGGGTTTGTTTTATCACGCTCCAAAATGCACCTGAACTTGCATAATCTGTTTAGAATGAAGATGTGCGGATGTCAATTTGTATGATAGATATTTTCGTATGCAAGCGTGGCTTCTCACTCAAGCAGAATCATGCTGTAATTTGGAACGTCGTTCACGTCATATTTAACAATGTTCAGAGAGTCTGTAGCGCACACCAGCTCGGAGCACGTGGAGCGAAAGCTCGCGCTGCAGAACCCAGGGCGATCCTGGCTTCAATCCCCACCCCTGCCCGTTTCGATCTGGATGAGCATCGTGCCGGCGTGCGGTCGTGTATCACTACTGCGTGGTGCACGCTAAAGGGATACTTCAGCGAAATTTGAAATATTCCCGTCGTGTTCAAAAATAGGTTGAATATGATCCACAATATCCGTAAAAGACAATCGCACGTTTGTATTTTGAGCCTGGGGGCTGTATTTTTCGTTATAAACGGCCCACTCTGGCAAGCGCTCGGAGAAGGCCCAGTGGAGACCACGTGACATCCAACGCAATCGTGACGTAGGTCGTCTCGGGACGAGCAAAGCTATGGCGAGGCTGACGTCGAGAGGATGGCCTAGTCGTTCCAGCCACCGAAGCGGCCACTTTTGTACGAATTTTGAGTGACGGGTTAGTCTTCTATAATCTTGTAGGGGGACAATAGCGACTTCTGGAACACACAAAAGGGATTCTCGGGAAGACGGGAGTTCCTCCTTCCCCTCTTCTTTCGTCGTGGCCAGAGCCTTTTATATGGTCGTGGCCGGAGGCGAGACAACCTCCGTCACTAGCTGTCAAGGTTCCTAGACGAGCATTACAAACGAGGCGTTAGCGACATCCACCAGGTGCTCTTTGCTAATCGTTTAATTTGTTTTGAAATTCCTTTTCGAGACTTTTTAACAATATATTGGAATGTTCGATGTGATACTGCTCCTTTGAACACATATAGACCAAAAAATGAGCGCCTAAATTTCGTTGTAGTATCTCTTTAAAGTCCCCAGGCTAGTGGTTGTACTGCACTGGCTAAGTTGCTCATCTACAGCGAGTGACTCGTCGCAACTTCAAAAGGCTGACCAACTACACGCTGTATAACTATAACACTTACGCTTTCAGCGTAACAGGCGATGATAGCTGCGGCTCCAACAAGGAAGGAGGCACGAGGTTATGTCGTCACCAGCCGGAACTGTGACTAAATCATCTCGTTTTTAAAGTGCCTTTTCACAAAAGCCATATGTCGCCAAACTGCGCGTGCAATGCTGCAGCGCAGACGTTATCGTCATTGCCGTCGAGCATGGTGATGATGATGATGATAATTGTACCCCAACAGCGCCGTACGCCGTACGCGCTGTTTAAAAAAAAAGTTATGTTCGCAGCAAGACCCTGAACAGTGCTTGCACTGCACGAGCGTGTGTGCTTGACAGGGACGCTGAGAGCCCGAAGCTCGCTCTTGTATTTTCGCACTAATGGCGGTGATAGAAGAACAATTAAGACCACCTAAATCGAGCACCTTCAGTGCATCGAACGCTACTTACAAGGACCAAATGGTTGGAATAAATCCTCCGCATCTGGCTTTATGCTCCTGAAGACGTTAGCTTTTCTTGGTGCGTAGAAGCTGTGTAACGCCGCCATTAGACCATCAGGTTTGGCTTTGGACAGGGTGGGTATAAATTGACTTTTGGGAAGGGTCTATTGGCTGCAAAACCTCATGCAAGTCTAGCGTCACATCGATGCACGGCGCCCCGTTCCCCCGACGTATCAACGGGGTCAGGTGGCGCCGCCCTAAGCCAAGTGACTGTCTCCGCAGGGGCCTTGAACTTGATTGTCGCGGTCCCGCGGTGCGCATCGGACGCGAGCCATTGGTCACAGCAGCAGGGCCGCTGGGCTTGTTGCTGATTCTTCTCTAGTGACCTCGTAGTCCTTTTCTATCAGTGTGTCGCTTTATTAGTGCGTGGCTGAGCATTTTCGCTTCGCCGGAGATCGAAAGGTGCATTGTTGTGATCTGCCGTATATTGAGCAACACGCGACCGGTCGTAGATATTGTCCATGTTCCAGTAATCATACGCTTTTTTTTTTTTTTTTTTTCACCTTTCCCATAAAAGGTTTGACTTTCTGTGTCAGTAACGTAGCCAGGATTTTATTTTGGGAGAAGAGGGGGGGGGGGGGGGTCCAAAACCAATAGGCATAACTCCCCCCCCCCCCCCTCCTCAATGGCGACGCAGGGTGAGCTCGGCGGGACGGACGCTCACGCAAAGATTAGCGAGGCGTTGTTAAGACAAACCGGGCAAAGCTGCATTGTTATATTTTGAAAACGGAGCAGGCTTCATTTACAGGAATACGGGCGTGGTGGCTCACTGTTCTACTGTCGTCGTAGTTGCGGCCCACCAACTTTAAAAGCTTCCTTACTGCACACAGCTCCCCCCGCTTTTACAGGTGTAGCACGTGCATTACCAACGCGTGAAGGCCAGACAAAACACAAGGATAGCTATACACCAGTGTCTGCTCTGTTCCATGGGCGCCACCATGTTTGTTTATGCTGACGCAATGACACGGTAAAAAAAGGGGGGGGGGGGCTGTGCTTTTTGCGAGACTCCGTTTTTTGTAGAAACTTTCGCACATATCGTAGTACAAGAACGTCGGAAAGGCGTAGTCACGAAGCTCCAAGTTTTGTTTTATGCGCAGCCCCTCTCTTCACAGGAGCTTGCGCTTGAGAATATTGTTTCACATTTTTATCGCTGGGGCTAGGATTTCGGACACTGGTCTACAGGCAACCTGAAATGCTGTTTGGTTTGGCGCTATCTATACTCCGTTTCACCTTAGTCAGAGCCCCCCCCCCCCCCCCCCCCCCCCCACACACACACACACAAGATTTTTATCATTATTATCATTTGAGCCCGTTCGCGTTTCGCCCTTCTCAAAACAACCATTCTCAAAAAGATCTTCTCTCTTGGACCTGTCGCATTTGGCCCTTTCCCGTTTCGTCCTTCGCAATTCAACCCTCCTCATTTGAGTCCATTCTCGTTTCGCCTTTCTTACTTGGCCCTTCTCAAAACAACCATTCTCAAAGAGATCCTCTGGTTTTGGCCCGTCGCATTTGGCCCTTTCCCGTTTCGTCTTTCGCATTCCAACTCTCCTCATTTGGGCCCGTTCTCGCTTCGCCCTTTTCCCCATGCCCTTTTCGAAACAGTCATTCTCAAAAATATCTCACTTTGACCCGTCGCACTTGACTCTTTTCATACCAAAATCGTTTTTAGGGTAATATTAATAAATACATTGATATATTTTGTGCGTGTGTGTGTGTCTGTGCCACGCTACAGGCATACTCTCTCTGCTAAGGATTTTATTAGTGCGTCGAGGTCGCCGTGAAAAGCTTATAGCTGACAATAAAACAGACCAACTATTTATCGC